TACTTTCATTACCATTGACAGGAGTGGGAGTGGAGCACTTTACTGCCAAGAAAGGAAGAACATATGATCTTCTTAAGTCCCAAACATATACTGTGTGCTCAATGAGTAATGAGAAGTGCTAGATATTCCTAAAAATATAAAAAATAAGTCTAAAGTAATGTTTGGGTGGAAACTGTAGCAAAAGCCAACCAATCAACCAAAAACCAAACAAAAAACCACCTGAGGGAGATTATTACTTTTTGTTTATTTGCCTTGTCTCCACAGTAACAATTGTCTATATAAATTTTATTATTATGTCTATTATATAATTTTGTGGAAAATTGAAAGGGAGGTAAATTTTGTGGAAAGTACGCAGGGAAAAAAATGTAAGAGCCTCAAGCCTGAATATCATTTCCCACAACAAAAAAATAGGATACATTGCATCATAAAGCACAGTATGCACAATGACAGAATTACTTGAGAAGAGGTTCGGTCTGCTGGTTGGGGAAATTCAAGCAGGCCAGCAAGCTTGAATCAATATACATGCTCTCCAAACTGTAAAAAACCAACCCCCTATATGCTACCCAGGAGGAGCAGCAATTTCCATAGCAATAAGCTTTGTAGTAATATAAAAATCCCCAACACCTGAACTACCTATGCACACTTATCACATACATAAAATTTGGTCTCATCACTGAATAACAGCCACCAACAGTTTACACTTCTGTCATATAAGTACAGCATTATACAAATCCAGACTTTTAACCTATACTTGGTAAGCAAAGTAGTTACCCATTCATCTTTGAAACTGCATCTTTATAATCATATCTAAACCTTGTGAGACTCATGAGTCCTTGTTAGTATTTGTGATCATTCCTAATGGTGATTCTAATTTGCTTTCCTGAATAATAGTGAAGTACTGCAAGTCATCATTGACTTTAAAAAGCAAAATGTTAAAAACATGCATTCTTCATATTGTTATGATGGTATTACTTAATAAGTAAGTCAAACTAGACTCTCTACAAATTCAAAATAGATACAGTTCTTGTCGTGAAATTTAATCTCTATTACTATTATTAATTGGGATTACAGAATTATTTTTTTTTTTGCATATATACTGTGTACTGCCCAACATTTTCTTTTAACATGTCTTCACTATAGCTAAAATGAACAGTTTAATGCTTGTACAATTTAAATGTAGCTGGTTTAATGATAGTTTTGATTATGCAACTGCTGTGCAACAAGCATGTGTTATAAACCATCATTATGTACCATGTATGGATGAATATGAAATGTGCATTTTTCATCCATATACTTTTAAAAAATGGAATTTCACAGAAACTTAATAATTTAATTGAGAGTTGTGCAACTGAATTTATATGTAAATAGTTTTCCTGAACACTAGATGAGAAGAGAATGGGTCATGGACATCCATTAAAGCTGTTATGGATCCAGTTCCATCTCTAGTATGAAGTAGACAATATAGTAAGAAGTAGCACAGGTAGAAAGCTCTTCTGGCATACATGTTTGACAGAAATTACCTTTCTGAGCAGAATTTAAAAGATACATTTTCTTGCATGAATCTCTCGAGTATGCATTATTCAAACATATGCTTTGCTGAAAATAGTGTGATTGATCTAGAAGTTTGAACTAAGATTTTAAAAAAATCTCCTTTTCATGCATGACATTCTAAGACATGATGCATCATTTTTGTTCATAGTACTGTTGAGGATTCAGACATATGAGACAAGTATGTTTGTAGAGTGGTTTTGGAGCACAGCAATTTGCATTACAGCTAAGAAGATAATGCACTAATACATTGCAAATGCAACTGTGTGCTCTTATTTCAACTGGGAAATGAAGATGTAATGAAACAACTCCATTTTGTTAGCATTGATCACTGTGTATGCAGTTTAACTTTTCAAACCCAGTTTTATAACTTTCACATTTGGTTCTACATCAAAGAGACAGTTTTAACATGTATTGTGTTTTGTTAGTAATCTCTCAAGTGTCTTGAATACACTAACCACTGTTTCAGCAATATGTAAGTAATAACAAGTGATGCACTGTTAAATTGTGAGTGCAGCATAAAATAAAAGGCTATTTATTTTAGCATTAAAAAGTATATTTATATCCTGTAATGATATTTTGGACTAGCTGAATTCTAGGTATATTTTATACAATGTGATGTTGCAGCAGCAGAAATGCTGAACATCTAAAATATATGCATTTCTTTGTCAAAGCTCCAAATCTTTGTTCCTTAAGTCATTCTTCATGAAAACCTAAATTATCCTAAATACATCACAAGTTTTAAAAAATAGTTATTGAAACATGGGCTGTCACTTGCAGTGATATATAATGAGTAAGAATGTGGCAGGTCGTTTTTCTTTTTCTTTCACACATTTTCTGTTAATTCCTTTTCCTTACAGAGATAACAACTTTGATGGGTGTAAATTAACAGCATCACAGTACTTAGAATGCCACTTAATTTTAGGTAGCTAAGTAATCATCAGCTTTTAAATAAAGAAGAATCTATTTAGTGTTATTTGTGATTATCCTTTAGTTTCCTGAATCATGAGTATAATTGCATATGAGGACAGTGCCAACCTTCTGTATTTGGGCTGCATGACAAGTTTCTGGTAGTGGAGGTGGGGAGGGCTACAGGGGCACTTTTTCTGAGAAGCTGCCAGAACCTTCACCCATTGACTTCTGACAGAGGCTATGCCAATTGACTCAGAGGTGGACCCATTGCTAGCCACGGCCAAGCCAATGGCTTGGTAGTAGTAGAGATGCTAGAGATGGTAGCAACTCCTCTGTGATAACATATTTAGGAAGGAAGTAGAGATGGTAGTAACTCCTCTGTGATAACATACTTAGGAAGGAAAAAAGTTATTGTGAAGAAATAATTGCAGCCAGAGAGGAGTGAGAGTATGTGAGAGAAACAACTCTAGAGACACCATGATCAGTGCAAAAGGAGGGGAAGGAGGTGCCCCAGGCACCAGAGTTGAGATTCCTCTGCAGCCTGTGGTGAAGACCATGGTGAGACAGGCTGTCCCCTTGCAACCTATGGAGGTCTATGGGATAGTATGGATCCATCTGCAGTCATAGAGGACCCCATGCAGGAGCACATGGATGTTCCAAAGAAGGCTGTGACCCTGTGGGAAGCCCATGCCCTCATTCCCTGTCTCTCTGCACCACTGGGGCAGAGGAGGTAGAGAAACAGGAATAGAGTTAAGCCTGGGAAGGAGGGAGGGGTGGGAGGAAGGTGTTTTTAAGGATTGTTTTACTTTTCATTATCATACTCTGATTTTGATTGGAAATAAATTCTATTAATTTCTCCATGCTGGGTCTGGTTTACCCATGATGGTCATCAGTAGTGATCTCTCCCTGTCCTTATCTCAACTCATGAGTATTTTGTCGTATTTTCTCTCCCTGCCCAGTTGAGTAGGGAGTCATAGAGCAGCTTTGGTGGGCACCTAGCATCCAGAGAGCCAAAACATCACACCTTCCATCCTTTTTGGTCTTTGCATTCCTGTTCCTGCAGGATTCTGCTGCTGTTGTCGGACAGGTAGCAATAAAACTTGTGGCTAAAACAGGAAAAATAATTTCTTACAGTTTTTCCCCCAAGTCATATATTTTAGGTCGATTTTAATATGGTTTTCATAAATTTCACATTACATTAATACCTCTTAATTATATGCCCTTTAAATATTTCAAAATGAAGAATGAATATTTCCAAACCACAAGTAAATGCTATTCCAAAAGTGTATAAAAAATTGAATGTTTGATAACATCAGAACTGATTTCAATTTTGAAAAAATTTCAGCAGAAGCAGTAAGAAAATACATAGCAATGAATAAAAGCTAGATACTTTAAAAGGCTTATAAATATAAAATGTAAATGGTTTCTCTGTTTATCGTAGTAAGGCTCTTTGATTTTCAAACGTTTAGTCGATTATTTCATTCAGGCAACCTGAACAACTCAGTTACAGGCTTTTTGTTTCCTCTCCAGAGAACACAGGTACAAAATATCAATGGTACACAGAGAGGGCACAAATGTTATACCAGTCATAATAAAATGATTAAATAGCAGCATGCATTTTTATTTCAAATATGGACCTGCCACTTTTTTTGTCATAAATAATACTAATAGCGACTTTGATATTATCTTGAACATTTTCCTTCAAACCATGAGGTTTCTGGAAGCACTTATGTTCAACCAGAATTCCACATTTTTTTAATATTCATGAGTTCAAAATAGCCAGAATTTTTTATAATACAAATGTAAGTAAGAGGAATTGTTTTCATTTCATAGCTGATTCTGAAAATTAAGGGCTGCTATGGCAATTTTTATCTAAAATTAGCTATCACAGCTTTTATATTTCTTACTTTGTATTTTGATAATGTCCATATGTCTCTCTGAATGCGGAAATATTTTGGGGTTTTTGAGCTTTGAGACATTTGGGACTTTTGTTCCATATAATAGGACATAAATTGTGATATTTCAGTTCATCTTTTTTTGTTTGCTTTGTTGGGATTTTTTGTTTTGCAATTCTGCTGTTTAAGTTTGCAGTAGAACTGAATGAAAAATACTCTTCCCTGATGTGTTTTTTTTGTTGGTCTTTATGGAATAGGCTCATGTGTTATCATTTTGGTTTTCCACTGGAAAGAAACTGCAATTTAATCTGAACAAACCCCAGAAAGCTCTGTCTGAATTGGCATTTCAAGATCTCAGTGTTGAAGTACATTCAAAATTCTAGTGTTGCCTTACACATGACATGGAAGTAGGTGTTTTTAATAGTTTCTTTGAATTCTATCTTGATATGAAACAGTGAAATAATTACTCTGTAAATTATTTTAACACTATTTTATAATGCAAAATATCTACCAGGTTTATGGAAAGCCAAGTACTTTGTAAAAGGCCTCATGTATTCGATATGTTTTGGATATTCCATGTATGCCAGTGATGACTTTTATTCTTACAAAATATCTTAGATGAAGCAATCACTTCCTTAATTTCAGGAGCTGATGCTGTGGAGGCTCAGTGTAAGAGATTTGAAGTGAGAGCAAGTGAAGGTGGAAAAGTATTGTTTTCTGCAGATGAAGATGAGATTGTCATTGGAGCTGACAGACTGAAAGTAACAGGTATGGTAATAATAAAGTTTCTAAATAGATGTAACCATATTTTTAAGTATCTTTAGTAATAATTAAAATACATATCTTCTCGAAAATTTTAATCCACTGGAGAGGAAAAGGTCTTCTCTTTCTCAGTGATTGCTTGACCAACCAAAAGACACTGCATAATCTAAAAATAAATTCCTCTAAAAGCAGATTTGAATTTGAAATCTGCAGAACCAGCTATGGCACAAATCACACTTGCCATTGTGATTTGGCTTTTATATGTCACCATTAAGCATTGTTTTGTGGTACCTATGCCATTTGTTTAGGTAATGCCCCTTCACTATGACAAAAACTATTACTATAAGCTTACACTATAGTTACAGTTATTTTACATTTCTTTTAATTGCAATAGATCTCAGTAGGAGTATCTTAGTTGTAGCAGAACTGTATTGGTCACCCTTGTGGATGAGAGTACAAACATATATTGTGATGCAGCTTTATCCTGACAGAGTACTGCTGAGAAAACAGATTAAGGAGGCCTAGGTCAGTATACATTTTTCTGAGACAGTGCTATGAAAGAAAGTTGTAATTCTTGCTACAAATATTTGCACTGTATGTCTCTTAGTACATTTTATCTTCCTCTTTTATCTTGAACCAAACTAGTCATTAGCAGCTGTATAAGAACTGTGAAAGAAAGTGGAGTCTGTGTAGTTATAGTCTAACTGCACCCACTTTTTTTGAAACATAAAACTTTTCAGAAACATGGAGCTCCTTGTCTGTGTCATGTGATCTGATATAATTAGCTGATTATCACTTTGTTTCCATATTTCAAACATAAAAATAGATCACATCATGGGAACTGCAGTTTCACAAAGGTTTGCACATTGATTCTAGCAGTAGGAGGAGAAACAAAAAGAAGAGGCATAAAAAAATGTTCATGTCATTATGACTTCCTAAATGGCTTCTTCCTTGTCAAACAGCACAGCTAGGTAGAAAGCTGTAAGCTGGAGAAGAAGAGGAGATAGCATATTTTGGTTGCAATGGAAACTTTCTCAGAATAATAGCAGGACATGTGTGAGTCAAATCTACTCTGGCACCAAAACAGTGTCAGTGAAAAATCTGTGAAAGGCTGCAAGTATCTTTTTTATTACACTAAATTATATGCTTACAGTGGGTTCAGTATTGCTTTTGATGTCATTTACTTGACTAAGATGTCAGAAGATACCTACATACTTATATTCTGATAATATTCTAATAAAAATCCAAATGACCATGCAGAGGAGTGCATCAGTGCTTCAGGTTTGATTTTAAGATTATGCTGCAGGACTGTGAGGCGGCAGGTAATTGAAATATAAAAAGGTCTTCCAGAGTAGTTAAAAGGAAATGATAAAATAGAAATATGGCTTATGGCTATAGAAAGGGAATATAACAGAAATATGAGGAAATATATGTGAATAGTTAATTAGATTGGAAAAATAGAAATAAAATATTTCTAACAAGCACTGAACTGTAGGAAGATAAATTATTATTTTATGTATGTTGTTATTACAGCAGGTGTATATCTAGTGCCTTCAGAGACCGAATAGGAATTTCAGTATGAATGGGTAAAAAGATCTTGGATTTGCCACGTTCATTTGGTGCATTGTCATTCAACACAAATGGAGTTCAGAGAGTGAAGTGGCACATGATGAAGGAAAGCACTTAATCACTCTAAACTGGCTTGTGCAGCCAAATTATCTGACCACAGTAGAACTAGTGTATTTGATGTTGTAGTAAAAAGTTAATCCTTTTAGTATACATGCCCGATACTCAGTATCCTGAACACTGAATGAATCAAAATTCTTTTATCATCATCTGTCACTAACAAAATGCATCACATAGAGAGGATTTCTATGTTTCCTCAGTAATAACTATATTAATATGTACTCCAGAATGTACAGGATAAATAAGGTTTCTGATAATCTTATTTAGAGCTCAGGAAAGCACTTAATGTCCAGACTTGTCTGTATGAGAGCTCTGATCGAAAGATAATGTTGTTATGGCAGTCTAGCCACTTTACAGCAGAACAACCTGTCAGGGCATTACTCTGGAGGTACAACTTCAAAGCTGATTACAATCATATACGTGAGCTCCAAGCTGTCTATGAACTGGAAGTTTTATAGGCAGGCTACAAGTGGTGAGACTAAGTAAATAAGTTTCTCATCCAGGTTATCGCCCAGATAGATTTATATCTTCTTGTTAAGGTCAGAATGCATCCAGCCAGCTCAGATTCCAAGCAACGTGTCCTTACACCAGCTTGCAGGTGATTATAGAGAGTGCTGGAGGACTACATTGACCTAAGGATAATAACAGCTAGTTAGCAAAAGAAAAATTTTGATTTTTGGCACTTGAACAAAAACATGCCAAGGAAATGAAGAATTGGTGTCAGGAATGTATGTAAAGTGAAATAAGCCTTGATAAAAGAATTTTTCCTGAAAAGGGAATAAACCCAAAAGCAGACAAATGTACAAAACACTTCTGTCAGCACAGGAAAACATGTTACATTTCTTACAGCCGTTTCACTGAAAATTACTCATCAAAGTTGTTCTGTAGACAGGGACATGGAAGGAGCAGCATATAGTCAGGTGGGAGAAAGGAAAAAACAACCAAACCCCCAGTAAAATTACAGTCTTTTTATGTGTAGATAGAGGAAAATCATCCTCTGCCTAGGGATTTAGCCTTTCTATAATCCATACTTTCTGAATGACGCTCCTTAAATAATCAAATTCTTTTTTTTTCCAGTTCTTTCATGATAGCCTCAGTTATAAGAAAAGACATATTTTAATCCTTTGCTTATGTGCTGCAGGGTTTATTTTATTGAGCTGGTTCTGTACTTGTCTGAGCTGTTCCTTTGCAGAATGCAGCCAGCAGTTTCCCAGAGTTAGTGAAGACATTATTTGCCCTGTTCTGATACAGAACAGGATCAATCCAGAGCCTGGTCCAAACTTACAGAGTAAATCTGATTTTCAGGTTAAACCTTTGACACCAGGATTAAGTTATTGACTATTTGTGAACAATGTAAAAATCAATATTTAGGAAAAACTGCCAATGTCTACGTCATATTCCCAGTCATATTCTGGATTGCCCGTTGAAGGACTGTGCAGAGTCCAGAGATACAATTTGAAATAGTTCTAGTTTTGAAGTGTCTGAATAGCATGATACCAGGCAAATCCTCATCACCAAATCCATGAATCCAAATTCCATGGAGGACCAAAGCCTAGTGGAAAATTGGCCCATGATAAGTAAGATGAGATAACTTGTAAATTAAAACAAAATAGCTTGTTTGGAAAACACACACTAAACATTCAGAAAGTTTTGCTGCAGAAACCCAATCTGAATTGGGTTCAGATTTTGTAGTAACATACTAACTCAAAACCTGAGCTAATCCTGACACCCACATGCCCTCAGGCCTTCTAGTTTTGAAAATGCACATTTAAATTGCAGCAGTCAGACCCATCTCTATTTTTAAGATATAGCTACTCACAGGAGGGAAAGGTGAATCATAAAGGAGCTCCAGAATTCTGATTTTCCTTTTTTTTTTTTTTTTTTACTTAAAGAACTTGCTCGTGGTTTATTTATGCCTGGGAATAAAACCCCACAAAACTGTTGCTGGAGATAAGGGTCAGGCTGTGGATTTCTGTTCAATGAAGAGTATCTGGTTCAAATTACTTGCCCTACAATGATGACACTACAGGCTGAAAATATCTTGCTTTGTCCTGCAACAGGACAAAAATTCTATAACATGAGATCATTTTGATTTCAATTTATAAAGCTTTCAGAATGGGGGAAATACTATTATATTTTCAGGAAATATTGCAGGCAGCTGATTTTTCACAAATATACTGATGTACCTCTTACTATGAACCATGTAATATATGTCAGAACTGCACTTTGTTTTCTCTGAATCCTATCTGAAACCACTACAAAGTAGCTTTCTTTTTTTTTTAACTTTTATCTGACCTTAAGGGAAATTTTAATCCCAACTTTCAGTACAAGCTAATGTACTCAGTAGTCCTAAACTACATGGTGGGATTATACAAGCATATGTCATGACAAACTTTCCAAACTTCCACAAATAAATAGAAAGATCTTGACTCTAAAATTAGGTAGAGAGTAGCAGAAATCCTCACATGAAGTACTGTTTGAGTCCATGGCAGTCACAATTTGATACAAAGCCTTACTCAGATAATAGCAGATCCCCACAAGTAACATCTTGGACTTCACTGTTTTCCTCAATTCTATTTATAAAGCAGGTACTCAGGCAAAGCTATAAAAATATAGATTCAAGTCATTTCTGCTCTGCAATACATTTTCATAGCAGACTCTTATAAGCTAGGAATAATTTCACACACAGGAAGCAACTCCAGGAAAAAAACCAATTTCACCTACAAAAGTATGACCTGCAGCTTTCAGCCTATGGTGTGAGTTTAAATTCCTATCCTCATTGTGGCTAATGGCAAGTTTACATTTCACAGTGTCTGACAGGACTAAATTCAGCACACCAAGGCACAAACATAATAAGCCATCATTTTGGTCCTAGAAAAATATCATCAATGTATGTAGGACTTTGTATTTGAATTAAGTCTCTAACTATGTGGCTTTGCTCCAGGTTCAGAAAGTACAGAAGTGTGTATGTGTTACAAAGATTTCTTAAGAAGCATGGATTGAAATGTTGAAGAATTCAGAATAGGTAAATTCCAGAAGGAAGAGTGGTAAAATTCAACATATCTTCTATAAAAGGAATTAAATTCTATGTAGTAAGAATCATCTCATAAAAAGAGAATGAATCAAAAACCTTAATATCGAGGCAGAAGTGGATACATCTGAAAACTGTGTAACTGCTCTGAGATGCAAAATGCAAATGGATTTATTCTTCATGGATATTGGTGGAAGGGCAAGGAACCTATGTGCTAATGTTAACCACCAAAACAAAAAGTTTAAACTGTCTAGGCTTTCTATAAAGAAACAGAATCATCTAATGCACA